CTTGTACTTCAACAACTTGTCACCATCTTCCTTAAGCTTGAACACCCATTTATTTTTCAAACCTTTTCTGCCTTTCGGAAGCTTCACAAGCTCATAAGTTTCGTTTTTCAACAATGAATCCATTTTTTCCTGCATGGCTTTCATCCACTGAAATTTATCCTTATGAGTTTGTTCTTCTTCAAAGCTTTCTGGCTCCCCTTCTTCAGTGATGGTAATATATGTGGAACTATGGTATCTCGTAGATGGTTGGATCATTCGATTTGATCTCCTGAGCTGAGGTGGAGCTTCAAGGTCTTCTTGCTCAACACCTTCACCATCACCATCTTCTATTGCTGGCTCATTATCAATCATGAGTTCTCCATCACACTCTCCCACTGATGTGACATATCCAGGAGGTTTGACAGGTGAAAGATCCACCTTTCCACTTGGTTCTCTTGTTTCTGGTGAAGCAGAATCAGACATAGTTTCTTGCTCATGAAACACTACATCTCTACTTCTGATAATTTTTTGATTTTCTGGATCCCATAACCTGTAGCCAAATTCCTCATCTCCATAGCTCAGAAATATACAAGGAATGGCTTAATCATCAAGTTTTCATCTCTGTTCCTTGCATACGTGAGCAAAAGCTTTGCATCCAAATACCTTTAAATGAGAGTATTTAACATCATGTCCGGACCATACTCTCTCAGGATATCAAAGCCCAAAGGAACAGATGGAGATCGGTTGATCATGTAGCATGCTGTTAGAACAACTTTACCCTAGAATGGCTTAGGTAGCTTAGCCATTCTTAACATACACCTCACTTTCTCCATAATGGTTCTGTTGATTCTTTCAGCCACACCATTATGTTGTGGGGTTCCAGGTACAGTCTTCTCATGTCTGATGCCATGCTCGGCACAATAATTCTTGAATTCATGGGAAGTATACTCGCCCCCATTATCTGAGCGAAGACACTTCAAAGGTTTACTAGTCTGTCTCTCCACCATATCATGAAACCTTCTGAAGTACTGAAAAACTTCGTTCTTCGTTCTCAAGTACACCCACAATTTTCATGAAGCATCATCAATAAACGTCATGAAATATCTGCTACCATCGAGACTCTCTACTTCCATGAGTCCATATACATCAGAATACACCATCTCAAACACATTTTCTTTCAACCTCGAGGTTTTGCTGAAAGACACTCTATGATGCTTCCCAAAGAGACAATAATCACAAGGATTCAGTTTTGAATCTTTGGCAAATGGGATGAAGGACTTTCTTGCCAAAATTTGCAATCCTTTTTCACCAATATGAGCCAGTCTTTTGTGCCACAAATTTGGTGAAGCATCATCCTCGACTGCATTTAGTCCACCCTTGATCAACTTCACTTGAGTTCAGTACAATGTAGATCTCATTGTACCTTTAGCAGCTAACAATGATCCTTTGGTAAGTCTCCACGTGCAGTTTTCAAAATTGTTAGTATAGCCTGCTAGATCCAATGCATGCACAAGAATCAGATTCAGACGTAATTCTGGTATATGTCGTACGTCCTGCAGTGTTATTGTGAACCCAATATCTGTTTGAATGCACACATCACCAACTCTCACAATATTTGCAATGCTGTTGTTGCCCATCTTTACTCTACCAAAGTATTTTCTTTGCATAGAGAAAATAATTCCTTGTGAGAGGTTGCATGGTATGATGTTGTTGAGTCAATGAGCCATTCAACACATGAATCTGCAACATGAAACTCTTCTTCTTCAACATAGAGCAACACCACTTCCCCATTGATCACAGGGGTTGCGTATTTTCATCGTTCTCTGACTTGTTGTTTCTCTAACCTCTTTTCTTCCAAGCTTTACAGTTTCTTTTGATATGCCCTTCTTTACCGCAGTGATAACACTTGAATTTTCTCCTGGGTTGAGATTGTGATTTATCTCTGGATTTGTTGTTCCGACCTCTATTTTTACTTCTCCCCCTGGTTTCTGTGACCAGGGCTTGGGAGCTGCTTGCCCTAGAGTCTTTTCTTCTTGTTTCTTTATTAATTATACTGTCTTTGACTAGGGTCAAAGTCAGTTTTCCTTCCAGAGCAGAATTGCTCAACGAGACCACCAGAGTCTCCCAGCTATCCGGTAAAGAACTCAAAAGTAACAGCGCCTGCAGTTCTTCATCAAGTTTCATCTCCATGGTAACATGTTGGTTTACCATGTCTTGAAACTCATTCAGGTGTTCTGCAACTGATCTTCCATCCCGGTATTTAAATTTACAAGCTTTCTAATGATGAAAGTTTTATTTTGTGCAGTTTTCCTCTGATACATTTGTTCAATTGTGTTCCACAGAGTATATGCTTTTGACTCTGTGGCAACATGGTGGAATATGCTGATATCCACCCACTGTCTGATTAAACTGACAGCCTTCCTGTGTAATTTTTTCCAATCATCATCCTTCACATCATCTGGCTTGATGTCTCCCTTTTCTACAAGATCATACAAATCTTTGTAGAAAAGTATGCCCTCCATTTTATGCTTCCAAATGGAGTAATTTGTTGCTGTCAGCTTCGCCATAGTACCCACGTTCTCCTCCATTTAATTTACACGGCTTAATACAGAGCCCAACTTGAGCTCTGATACCACTTGTTGGGCTCAGATGCGCAAATGCGGAAGGTATAAATTAAAATACTGACGTGAAATAGTGAACAATAATCCCAATCCCAGCAACTCAAAAATGACAAAATAAATCTCTTGCAATAAAACATGAATAATTATTTTCTGATTTGGCAGATCAGATTAAACTGCGACCACAAAGCATACTAAGAATATTCCAAATAAATAAAATATGCAAGAAATAAGATAACAAGATTTAACGTGGAAAAACCTCCAAATTAGAGGAAAAAACCACGGGACAATCTCCGAACAATTCCACTATATTTTTCAAGATAATTACAATATCTTTTCATTCTCCTACACTAGAAATGTAAAATATAGTGACCCGAAAAGATATTGTAACTATCTTGAAAAATATCTTTTCACTATATTTTACATTTCTAGTGTAGTAGAATGAAAAGATATTGTAATTATCTTTCTAGTTCAGAGATTGTACCGAATTTAGAAATTATTTTTCTGGACTTTAAGATATTTTAGTCGAGGACTTTAGACGAATTTGGACAAATTAAGAAATGAGGGAAACTAATTAATTTAGACAATTAATTAAATTTCGAAAGAGAAGTCCGGAGAGTTATTCGAGAAGTCAATTAATCGAGCAAAATAATTAGACTCACAAATACTGCACTACTCAATTTAGGACTTTGAATTTTCAAACTTAATTTGAAATTGATATCCAAACTTTTTAATTTCTAATTGTCATTTGAAAATATGACTCTAATCCCTAAGAAAATATAAATTATTAAATATTTTCTTGTTTAAATGATGCCACACAAATATAGCGTGAAATAAATTAAAATAACACAAAATAACGATAAAATGCGTAACTATGCCATCATTTCATATGAACTTTGTTGGAAAAACACTATATAGAGCCCTATAAAGTGCGCTACTTAATTCTATTTAAAACACTAGGCTTAAGTGAAAAATTAATAACTGTAGGAGCACTTAAAAAAAAATAGTTTCTTAAAAATAATTTTCTATATGGCTTATAAGACAAGATGATGGTACTAGTTATCTTAAAAAGTTTGAATTTTTTATACATTATTTAATTTCTATGTTAAAAAATAGGGTAGTCGCCCTTCTAGATGGTATGCACCATTTCTTTATTTTATTTATTTATTATTATTATTATTATTATTATTATTTTTTATCTTGGCAGTCGTCCTAGGCCTTCAAACAATTGGGCGATACGTGAACTAGATGTCGTCTGGGTGTGGTAGCCAATTGCGAAGTTAATCACTAGGCTGGCTAAGCAGCCTAGGCGACATTGTTTTAAAAATCGACCCAGGCGGCGCTTAAGCGTTAGGTGGTGCCCGGACACCTCTGATTTGCATAAATGGGCAGAAAAAATCGGCCAAGCGGCTAGGCGCCCTAGGCGGACTTGGCAGGCTCGGCGGGCTCGGCGGCCAAGCGGTTAGGCGGCGCCTAGGCGGGCTCGGAAGCAATTTTTTATTTTTTTTAAATAATAATTACATTATTTTGTGTTATAATGTTTTCTTTAAAATATATTAATTTTATTATTTGCATTTCGCTGTGTCAATTTATTATAAGTTGAGATAATTTTATATTGTAGGTAGTTAAAATAAACAAAAAATAAAGTATTTAATATTGATTTTTAGGCCCGGACTAGGCGCCGTCTAGGCGCTAGGCTGGTCGAGCGCCTAGCGGGCGCCTAGCGATTTTTAGAACACTGCTAGACGGTCTTGGTGGCGCTTAAACACCCGTAATTTTTTTTCATAAGTTTTTAATTTATTTTCTAAAATATTATTTTAACTATTATGCATGAAACTTACCTTAATCTTATAAATTATATGCTAGGTTATAAATATAAATAAATTTATTAATATTTTTATATCCCTACTTAGTGGTGCGTAATTCCTACCTAGGATTGATAAAATTTAGATTAAATTTTAAAATACTGTATATTCTATTAACTTACATAGGGCCCAAGTTATGCATTAATCATTGCAGGTGATGATTTTTTTTTTTTTTTTTTTT